GTGTAACATCATGTAAAATCGCGTATTGCGGTTTGCAATATTCTTGATCGCGTCAATTCAAGTATGAAACAATGATGTTATTTCCGAAATGATTAATGTAACTGGTTATTCGAAAAACCACCCCTCATGCGACCAGAGCCCTCGCGTCTCTTCACGAGATTTCGCGCAACCCCTTCGAGTCTCCCGTTACTGCCGATAAAATCGCAACCCCTCGCATCGGAATTACCAACCACTAACCGCCGGAAGCCTCGAAGCCAGCGGAAGCGCAGACAGGGTGAGAGCATTGTGCTCGAAGCGGTGGTGAGGCTCACACGCGGATCAGAGCGCGTGCGTGTTGGGCCGAAAGGAAAGCTTCCTCGTGAAGTTCGAAAGCTCGTCACAGGATGGCGACGCTTCTTGAGGAAACCGTGCGGACGTTCGATCCTTACGAGGGCGAAGAGGAAATCGGCCAATCGGGGTGGCTGCAATTTCTACGATTCGACGCGTGCCGACCGCCATTTTTGGCCAGCCTGAATCGCTCGATCCGTTACGCCGCGTCGACCGATGATTAATGACCTGCACTTTGGCTCCTCGTAGCCAGAACATGCAGGAGTCGATGAGGGTCGGTTAACCCCTTTCAGTAACACGACTAAATCTAAGCTGAATCTTCCACGCTGTTTTCTGAAATTCTGATGTCTTCATAGTACCTATTGAGTTTATTATCGGAAGTATTCTACAGAATCATTGAACGCTTTATCAAAAATTATCCATAGACATAAGAGGATAGATCGATTGTCTAATATATTTTTGAACAGCAAACATTCTTTATATTCGGTGTCGATACAATTTTTTTATAAATGCATAAAATCTGCCATGAACATGTCAAATGTTAAACCAATGATTTTTTATTTGGCTTTATCTTAATAAATGATCGAGAATGATGAATGCAATGCCTTCATTGAATCGGACGCTCGCAGATACATCGTATATCTTTCTCCGTTCTTATATCTTCATATAAGTGCTTGGAACTTGAAAGAGCTATTCACTTCGCGATTTGCCTTCCACCAACTGTACGTTGTACACCTTTCATTAAGTAATGGAATGGGCCCGGA